GGTTTGGGTCTACAAGAGGACAGTTGTGGAGGAGAGAGGGACGGAGGGGTTTGGGTCTATAAGAGGACAGTTGTGGAGGACAGTTGTCCCTCTCTCCTCCACAACTGTCCTGGTGACAACTTTCCAAGAATCAAATTTTGATCCCAATCATTTTAAAACATTTGGGCGCCGTGACATTGGACCTCTGCCAACTCGGCCTTTTCTAATTAGCAATTTAAGGACAATCTCCTGACTCATTATCCCCCGCAGGAACTGATTCAGTACCAGAGGAGGTATAATTGCAATGTTTTTCTGTTTAGTACACAGTTATTGCGCCGCGGAGTCTTCGTTTTGTTGGTAGGCTCGGTCAGGTCTGGATGGCGGTAATTTCACTTGTCATGTCGTCTGGCTGCGCTTGCACCACAACAATAACCGCGCCGAGAGCATTGCGCAACCACCAGCCAATGGGAAGCCATCGTTACCTTGGGCTTATGTATAAAAGTGTCTGAAGGAAGAACAGATCTGTCCACGGCTGCCCAGAGCCACCAACCAGAGGCCCCTTTTAATGCACCATATGGATGAAATTGTGAATGTGCCTGTTATGAGTATCTACCATCGTTACTTCTCCAGATGTGATATATATACAGTGTATACATTATATCAGCATATACAGTGTATACATTATATCAGCATATACAATGTATATATCAGCATATACAGTATATATATATATATCAGCATATACAGTGTATACATTATATCAGCATATACAGTGTATATATCATATCAGCATATACAATGTATATATTATATCAGCATATACAGTTTATATATTATATAAGCAAAGGGCTTGAATCCCAATTTTTTTATTACAAGTCTTCAGTTGAATCTCCTGTATCCAGACCCCCGTCATGTTCCCCAAAACAGTGTTATTTTCCCCGCCTACCTAAAGGCCCAATAAACATTTATGTGGACCTGTCATCGGATACTGTATATCCATTTATGTTGAGTGCAGCATACTCTGCAATATGCCAGTGTGACCCTTCCAGGTATCTATTACCTCTCACAGAGATCACATGACTTCCCCCCTGACAATGCCTTCATCTGCTTTTCTCTCCAAAAGGACAGCGCCTGCTTTGTTTAGGCCTCATCCAGAGTCACCATCTACTTTTTGTGACTGAGATACCAGCTCAGAGATGACACAATCATGTAAATCCCGGTGTCTGTGTTCACAAGTAGCTGACACATATCAGCCACTGCTACAGCCTCTCACCTTGTAAGTGGATGCAAAGTTACAATCTGATCGTTGGGGAGGTGAGACTGAGGAAATGCTTCCTCCTGCCTGCAGCAGACTGATCACTTGGGAGAGTGGAGACTGTGAAAATGCTTCCTCCTGCCTGCAAAAGACTGATCACTGGGGGGAGGGGAGACAGAGGAAATGCTTCCTCCTGCCTGCAGCAGACTGATCACCGGGGGAGGGGAGACTGATGAAAATGCTTCATCCTGCCTGCAAAAGACTAATGACATCATCTCAGCCTAGGCAAAGTCCCTGACTGAAGCTCAAGGACGGCTTTTTCATAATAAAAGTTGTAATGCTGCAGCAATAACAGGACCTTTCTCTAGCAAAACTTGAATTTCATTATGTGGAGGGGGGCTCATACTTTGGCCGTATAGCGTGAGCCATTGAGAGAGCTCTAATGCAAAACATTGAGACAGTAAACCTAAAGACTTGAAATCATTTACACGTCTATGCAAAAAAAAACAACCTATAAAATGGTCTGTCTGCTGCGGCAGCGATTCCTTCATGTACAGCGGCAGGCTCGGCCTGGATTTATAATTTGCACCCTTTACCTTGGATGGTGCTGCAGCCATATAAATATGCATAGAAGCTGATGTTATGGAAGTTTAATGGACGTTTCTCTCCTAATTGTATTTGCGCTCTATGTGGAGGCGGAGGCAGCGCTGTGTGCGGCTTGCTGGGATGATCGACTGATGCCCATAGAGGTAAATATTAATGTGCAGAATATATTTTATACATTTTGTATCAAGTCAGTTTCTTCTATTGTTCTATATGAAGTATGAAGGGCTCTGTTGCCACCTGGTGGTCATGTCTAGGCAAGTCAGCTGCTTTTAGGCAAACCCTGCAAATCATTTCTTCCAACAGGTTTCAGGTCTTGAAATGCCCCTTTGTCATAAGCCTGTGCTGGAAGGAGAAAGAGGGGAACATTCGCTCAGTAAAGCTACGGTTCCGCAGGCCGCCTTCTTTTTTTTTTTTTTATAGAGCCCGTGGAACGTGCATCGAAAAAAGACTTCCCCCTGTGAACAAAAAAAGTGAACCGTGAAATCACAGCACACAAAAACGTGCACAAGGGTGCTTGGTCCTTCAATAAAGAAGGGACCTCGAATTCCCGACCCCCCGGGGCGCAAGGCTCCTGACAGGGGTTGAGACTGTTGGTCCACCAACCCGAAGGCCGGTGGACCCCGATCCTTCGGGGACCTGCCGGAACAGGCCCCTCACAGTACTGGGTAGGGGGCTCTCCCGAAGAGAGACCCCCCTCCTGGGTGGGAGGAGACAGAGAACCCTATATTAGGGCACAGAATCTCCTCCCCAGCATCGGGAATAGGCCCCGAAGGAACCTGCACCCGCTGCATCTAGTGGGTCAAAATTTTAAAAAAGTGCCAAACGTGCAGGTAGTGCAATAAATAAATAAAGAGTGCCAGTGCACCACGCTGACAGGCCCTAGGGGCCGGAGCGCAAAAATATTGCCCCAGACTAGCCATAAGGCCTGTCTCGGAGGCGTTGTGCAGAAAATGCAATGTGTCCATGTGCACAGTGAGTCAAAATGGGGTCCCACACCCAAGTGACTTCCTGAGCACCCCTGGGACGCCACCCCCAGGGGGTACAACACCACGGGCTCTGCCGCCTCCCAACCCTCCTGCCTCGACCAAGCTTTGCATCCCCAAAGGATCGGGGGCCATCGGCCTTCGGGTTGGTGGACCAACAGTCTATGATAGGTCCTTCCTCCGAAATTTGTTGGCTTCATTTTATTCCATAACTATTTCATATTAATATGAAGCTCTCAGACCATCTGTACCAGCCGCTCCTAACGGACTACCAAACAGATCAACTGTCCAATATCAGTAATAAACTCCAAACTGGTGCATGCGGCCTGAAAGACCTTCAGGGCTTGTTCACACCAAGCGCGGAGCAGATCCGGACCAGAGCAGGTGCAGACCGGATCAAAACTGCGTCCAATGTATTCCTATGGTATTTTGACCTCCAGTTCACATCGCAGCGTGCGGATCCAGACCAGATCCAGACCGGATGAAAAAAATGCGGCAAGCCCTATTTTACCTGCTCTGGATCTGGTCTGGAACGCATCAAAAACGCATCTAAAATGCAAAAACGCATCAAAAACGCATGCAAGTGCCTGAAAGTCCATGTTAAACTTAAAAAAAAAAAAAAAACATTTTTTTTTACCAAAACCGGCCCTAAACGCATCAAAAACGCGTCTAAAACGCGGCACAACCCACTACACTGCGTGTGCAGAAACCTGACCGGATCTGGTCTGCATTTGGTGTGAACAAGGCCTCAGAATCACCATAGGCCTCGGTTGTCGATTGGCATCTGTAACAACTTTTTGCAGCCATACGGCGGACATACCTGCGTCCGGATCCCTAGGGTCCTCTGACTTCTACTGAATGCCTATGGGGCCCCTCTTTAGGGCCCGGACGTCATCTGCAGACTCCGTTATAAGCGCTGTAGGTGATGAGGCAGAAATATCACAAGGTGAACAGTTATTAAACACCGGCTTTATTTATATACACAATTATACACACTTGTTAGTCACCAGAGATGTACTGTAAAAGATGTTGGAATAAGATCATGACTCTCTAAACCCCTCCTCCTCCCCCTAATCAGGCCAGCGTCCATTGGTTCTCGTCAATTGCCCCCCTACACTTTCCAAGTCTATGGTACGTTCCAAAATCCCCGCAATTCTATTGGCCACTGGACACTCTCTTCTCAGTGCTTACTCTGGGACAAACCACTTCCGCGCACGCGTAGGGGGAGCTCAATGTTTTAGATTTACAATCGCTTTTCTGGGCCACACAAAATCAACAAGTTCAAAATGTTTCATTCGATTTTATGTAGCAAGTTTTCGAAAAACAAAAAATACTTTGAGCAGCAAGTAATGCGCAAGACTAGAAAAAACAGAGCGACCCGTTTCTACAGATAGG